ATAACAGTGAAAAAGATTGTTTTTTAAATCCAAACTTTTGTGCACCAGATCTAAGTGGTGGCACTGGTCACCGTATCCACTGTTAGCAACACACCCGCTTTAAGGACACTGACTGCTATTCAATCTATAACAGTGAAAAGTGTTTTTTTTTTAAATCCAAGCTTTGTGTCACCAGATCTAATGGTGGCACTGGTCACCGTATCCACTGTTAAGCGTAACACACCAGCTTTAAGGACACTGACTGCTATTCAATCTATAACAGTGAAAAAAGTTTTTTTTTTAAATCCAAACTATTGTGACACCAGATATAAGTGGGTACTGGCCCACCCTGTTAGCGTAACACACCCGCTTTAAGGACACTGACTGCTATTCAATCTATAACAGTGAAAAAAGTTTTTTTTTTAAATCAAGCTATTATGACACCAGATGTAATTGGTGTGGACTGTCACGTATCACTGTGAGCCTGACACAGAAGCTTTAAGTAGACAACTGACTGCTATTCAATCTATAACAGTGAAAAGTTTTTGTTTTTAAATCCAAGCCATTGTGACACCAGATCTAATGGTGGCACTGGTCCATTATCCACTGTTAAAACACACGCTTTAAGGACACTGACTGCTATTCAATCTATAACAGAAAAAAGTTTTTTTTTAAATCCAATATTGTGACACCAGATGTAATTACTGGAGGTCATCCACTGTTAGCTATTGTGACACCAGATGTAATTGGTGGCACTGACTGGGGAAATGGGCACAGTATGCACTGTGAGCCTGACACAGAAGCTGGCAGCAGTGGCAGACAACTGACTGCTATTCAATCTATAACAGTGAAAAAAGTTTTTTGTTTTTAAATCCAAGCTATTGTGACACCAGATGTAAGTGGTGGCACTGACTGGGGAAATGGGCACAGTATGCACAGTGAGCCTGACACAGAAGCTGGCAGCAGTGGCAGACAACTAAGTGCAATTACATTACATAGAAAAAAAAAATAAAAAAAAAGCATACCCTTATCCCTAACCTAGCTATGCTTTTCCCTATCTTATGAACAGCAGCTACACTTTCCCTCCTCTTACTAAGCATGCAGCTTGAGAATGAATCTAAAATGGATGCTGTCCAGTAGGTGGGAGGGTCTGCTAGGGAGGCTGTGCTGCTAATTGGCTGGAATGTGTCTGCTGACTGTGAGGTACAGGGTCAAAGTTTACTCAATGATGACGAATAGGGGGCGGGTCGAACCGCGCATATGTTCGCCCGCCGTGGCGAACGCGAACATGCTATGTTCGCCAGGAACCGTTCGCCGGCGAACCGTTCGGTACATCACTAACTCTCAGTATAAGTATTGTAGTAGGTTTTCTATTGAGACTGCGTATGTAACTTTTTAACACATCATGCCTTGTACATAGTGTTGCTAAATTATAAGCTTAGTCATATATCGAAGTGGGTTTAAGGCATATCAAGATATAAATCCCATTGCTGGAATATTAGCTATTAATATAGCAACTGAGAATGCACACAAATGTGGTAGGTTAAAATAATAATAAAAAAATAATAAAAAACAACCTTTCCTTACTATGCATTATGATAGCTAACCATTAAAGTTTCCATTTTAGAATTAATTCTCTTGCCACTGCTGGATCCTTGAGTGTATAGGATTGGTCCTGAAAAAATATTACCAGTGCTCCCGGAAAGTTCCATTTGTATCTAATATTGTTTGCTCTAAGGGTTGCAGTAGTTTCATTGAATTTCCTTCTCGCCTGTCTAGTCACTGGAAATAAACCAGTTTTTTCAGGCATTGAGCTGTTATTTGAGATGAGAAAAGTGATTTAAGGTATTTTTCGAGATTGACTTGAGAAACTGACTCCGGAATTGTTCTGATCTTAATGTTATTCCTTCTAGAGTGATCTACTATATCAATTAATTTATTTTCCAGTTTATCGACTCTATCTTCTAATAATTTTTTGATAAAAACAGATTCTTATCCTCTTCTTGTAATTTCGGTATTGTTTGGGTTTGTTCCGTTAGAGTAGCAGTTAAATGAGTAAGCTCATCTTTGAGCATAGAAATACTTGAGTCCAGATCTTGCTTTTTGATTTTTTATTCAGGGAATCTTCCAATGACTGTTGCGTTATAGTTAATGGAGGATTTATCTGTATATTTTGATACTGTGTGGTGTCTATTGAGAGGTTCAAATCTTCTTTGTTCTTTGGAAATAGATCTTCTATTAGTCTCACTGGTTTTAGGAGAGTAAAAGGTGCTGATGCCTTTATATTTTCAGCGGTTATAATTTTCTCTTTATCTTTTTTCAGAGCCATTGTCCCATTTTGTATTTTTTTCCTTTTTCTTTTATCTTTTCCTTCCTTTCTTTCCCTTTTAGTTATCCTTTGCTTTTTTCTCTTCTTTTTTTCCCTTTCTTGTTTTTTTATCCTTTTTTTTCTTTTTTCTCTCTCCCTTTCTGCTTCTTTTTCCAGCCCCTTTTTTTTCTTTCTCCCCTTTTTGTTCTATTTTTATCCCCTTTTTTCTTTCTATTTTTTCCCGTTTATCCTCTCCTTTTTTCTTTTTCCTTTTCTTCCCTTCCTTTCCTCTTCCTTTTCCTTTCCTTCTATTCACTTTTCCTTCCTTTTTTTTTCATAACTAGTTAATTGCCAAGGAGAGATAGAACTTTGGGGATTATCATCAAATGACCCAATGAGAGACTTGTACTGGCTTTGTAAGTTTATGTCTTTTTACCATCGACCAAAATATAGCCAAATATTCCCAGGAAGCAATTCTCAAAATGGGATAGCACAAAATCAATTTAATATGAGTTTTTAAATAAAATTAGTATGAGTTCAGTATTGATGTGATGAATTTACATATTTTCGACTAGATATACTAATTAGGCTGGGAAAGGTTTCCCTTAGCAGGGGTGTCGCTGACAGGAAGACCCGCCCGCAGTACTAGTTTACTGTCGGAAACCGAACCTCACCTTAACCACTTAGTAAAATGTGTAGAAGGCTTCTTTTGACTTCTTTTGATATTATCTTGTTATCCCTCCAGTGTATGTTTGGAAGTGACCTGTAGTCAATCAATGAACAGTGACTCATAGGGGACCTTCAGGCGCACAGCGGCATTCAGGGCATTAGACGATCCGACACAGAGACCTAGCGATGAATGGTCCACTGATACTATAATGCACCGAGCCTCCAAGCATCATGGCAAAAGACAGCATGTCCGAGCTTCACCCCTCACTTCTCTCCGGCAGAATGTGCGTACGTACGTGCTGTCACGATGCTCCGGCTCCAATCTTTATCTTTAGATTTATTTAGGTCCTTACCTTTTAGATTAGGCAAGGATAGGATTTCACAATTTCAAAGTTTATTTTCAAAGTGTATTTGGGCAAATAAACACCCCAAAAGTTCTCAGAAGATGCTACAAAACAATTATGGTAAAGGTGGTATTTCATTTACAAATATCGCAAAGTTGCCAAACATGTCTAATTGCGAATGTAATGATATGGAATAAACAAAATATTTAAAGTAATGCCTGGTTCCAGATAGAGCAAGAAATGTAGCCATACGTTAATTTAAACATTGTGTTCTGGTTAAACTTAGATTTAAGGAAACAAAGAAATATTCTAAATACATTGATTATGGATATGTTAGAAGTTTTAAAAATGTTGAAAATGAAACGTAATCTTTCAGAATCTATTCTTATACAAGCCCCATTAGAAACCATGTGATATGACATGTCAGATATGGATCTATACAATTGGAGAGTATGAGGGATAAATACATATGCAAATCTTTTTGATAATAAAAAAATTGTTTCGTTTTCTGAAATTACAAGATAAATATAATTTATCTTATAGCAAAACTTTTCGTTACCTAAAGATTAAACATTTTCTAAACTTAAAACAGGTTATAGTTGAACACCCTATCTTTGACTTTTTAGATAGAGTAAATACAAAGGGCCTAAAAACACAATCTTATAAACTTTTACAAAGGGGGGGGGGGGGAAGTTGTGGAAAAAATATTACCAATAATGAAATGGGAAAAGGATCTTAATATAAACCATACCCCATATGAATGGTACCATACCACCATTCAATTGAAAAAATACATTTGTTGTATATTATTTTTAGAACTTCATCTAAAGATCTTGTATAGGTGGTATCTGGTCCCTTCTAAACTACATAAACTGTATGAAGCATACTCATCTATATGCTGGAGATACCATAAAGAGATACAATACAATATTTCATATTTGATTTACCTGTGAGAGGCTAAATGATATTAAGATGCGTATATCTTCCTTGATCTTAGCATTAACTCAAGTGGTAATAATTCTCACACCTTCATTACTTTTATTAAATTTAGATTTTCCATTAATGGAAAAAAATGAAAATATTTAACTACACATATTCTTTATGCTATGAAGATCACCATAGCTTGTCATATCAGAATATACCTGCATCAGGGAAATTTGATTTATACTATGATCTATGGCAACCCTGGGTAATATATAGGGAAAATAAAAACATATGCTAAATTATGGATGATTTCGTGGTTAAGATAATTATTTCCATGATTTACTATTAAAATAAGAGTCCCCTTGGATTTACTGTAATTGTCGCACCCTGTCGCTGAGTCCCAAGGTATGCAGTCCACAATTATGTACGTTCATATTTTTTCTTTCTTGTGTGTCTTTGTTTGGAACGAGTACATTGCCTTAAATGCAAATTATCTCTGTATTAGATTTATATGAATTGACTATGTTGAACTGTAATGAAATATTGGATTTATTTGTATTTGTTTTTTCTGTTTTTGACAATGCTGATAACATAATAAAATGAATAAAAAAATTTTTTTAAATGTGCACAAAGAATAGCATTTAAGAATTGAATTATTGGCCATGGCATACACATGTAAGAGTCATTTTAATCTGTTAAAATAAAAAACGATTAAAAAATAAATAAAGAAAAATAATATCATAGTAAGATGTATCATTGCTCTTTTTAAATATTGCCTCTGCTTTGATCGTATCTTTAGTACATAGTATTATTACCCTATCTAAAGTACTTAAATTACAGCTAGTAGATTTTTGCTTATTCTTTGAGGAAAGAAAAACTTCCTGCTTGTACTGTGCCTATAACTATTGTTGACTGCCTTTATAATTACATGTTTACATCTAGTACAATTGGTAAATTGAATTGCATTCTTTGTATTTAACTTGTACTGACCTACCAAGACCCATGCTGGAGAAAGATCATTGATACAGAAACATTGTCACGTCCAGTAGCGATGGGCAAATAACAATTGGGAATTTCAGGTCGAATGGAATGTTACAGACACTAGTGTGCATTACTTTTCAGACAATGCCATTCGACCTTGGATGCTAGTGATAAGCCCAACTGAGTTGGTGGCTGACTAGCATATTGCTTGCAGCTTTTTATTGCAATCAAAGACTGATCAGGTTTAGACAGATAATGTGTAAGTGAAGTTTCTACACTATGTGAGCATCAGGCATAGTTCTAGGCTTTGACTGTCGGATGAGTCCTGTTTTTCTCAAACCACTAGAAATGTATTTAAAAGAATATAAGGGAGACAACATCCAAAGGCTCATTGCACCATAGACAGAGCCCCTTGAACACTTGAACAATGCCCACCATAAAGTTATAAATGATACCTATGCCTAAATCCTTTGATGTAGCCGTGTACATGTATAGAATAAGTAAATTTATAAAAACTGCACCCAAGATCTCATGTATGTATGGAAACAGCATGGTAACACTGAATTTTATTAAAGGACACGGAGGCTCATATTATGCTTATCTCTTTCTTTATTATACCTCAGCAGCAAAGAGAAGGTATAAACATTCATAGAAAAAAGTTTTAACAGGTTCTCCAAGGGTTAACCCAACATCATACCCTTAACCAATAGGAACAGTCCCTCTATCTATAACTATTCATGTGACCTTTCCTCTTCCTCTTTCTTTGCTGCTGCCTCAGCTAAGTACCATCTAATTTTAGCTCTCCTCAGAGCACCCTTTTGAATTTATATTGTATTTGTTTGTTTCTGTGTCTTTAATATTTTTATGTGATAGGTTTGTGTGGGTTAATTAGCCGGTTCTTGGAGCCGGCGCCTGTCTGCCTTTAGGGCAGATAGACGTTTTCACTGGGGTTCCCTCCCCCCCCCCTGCGGCGGTTACCCCCTCCCACACCCTACCGGGTAGTTTATTACCCGTTCTTTGTTGCCCTCTGGGAGCCGGGGCGGCCGTTTCGCGGCGCGAGCGCTCTGAATCCAGAGCCCGCTCGCGCATGCGCTATAACGGCCGCTCGGCACTGCGGCCATTTACAGTAAGCCGGCCGGGTTTTGCCGCGCTTTTCTCTCCGCCCGCCCTGTACCAGAGGGCGGGCGTTCTCTGATTGGCCAGCTGCATTGGCTGGCAGCTTACCAGTGCTCCCTGGCGGCCATTCCAGGGGGAACACTTGGTAAGCTGACAGCCTTTGTTTGTGCCTGCATCCTCCACCTGCACTGTTCTCAGAGCCCACTGCCCACAGTTTGGTTTACTGTTAGCCCCTGCACAGGGTCACTAGGGGCATTTTTTCCTCTCACATATTGGTGCCAGTCTGGTACAAATTTCTTTGTGTCACTTGGTATCCCAGCCAGTTAGGTGTCACTGCTCCCACACCTTTTGCTACAACCTACCTGTCATGCAACACCTTAGGGACCTCGGGGTTGCCACCCCCACTGATAACAGTACAGACACCATTCATCACGTGCCACAGATACCACGTCCATGCTCGCCACTGCGAGAAGACGTGGCATCCATGGATCAGTTAAACTCGGAGGAGTTTCACTCACTCCTGGATGCAACCATGACCAAGTCGGTCACCCAAGCTATAGTCACGGCTATGGGGGCGATGTCTGAGACCCTGACACAATCCATTAGTAATGCCATACTGGCGTCTAACAGCCATCCCAGCGGCCTCCGCCCCATGGCCCAGCCTGACAAACCTGTGCCCCCCAGCGGCCGTAAGGCTACGCAGAAGACCCACCATATGGGCAAACACACCTCCAAAAACAGCACGACGGACAGGATACGCCCTGTCACTACTGAGGACGTGGGGCCCCCACGCAAAAGAGCCACCCACCGGGCAAAAGCGGTGAGGACATGGAGATGGGCAAAAGCCCAGACAGAGACATCCGACTCTGGTTCGGACATAGAGGAGGTAATGAGTGAGTCCGAGGAACTCGGCTCGTTGGAATCAGGGAACTCTTCCCCTGAGCGCAGCCTGGCAGTCATACCAGCTAAGGGAAAAGCGCCCGCGGATGATTCCACCATCCTAGACCCCCAGGGCGAGCCCCTATTCAACCCTGACGACCTGCAGCACCCCAGGTCCACAGACTGGTTCCCAGCTGACCATGTGGCCCAATATATTGCGGCCAGAATAAGGAAGCCCCTGGATAAAACAACCAGGAATAAGTTAAGGGCAGAGTGCCCACGCCCAATGGTCCCTGATATGGCGTGCGCCACGCCGGAGGTGGACCCCAAGATTGCCCAGTTCCTGGGTAAGGCTGGCTGGAAAGCCAAAAAAGGGCTAGACTACTCCCTGCGCCACTGCCAGGATAAAGTGCTCGACTCCTTGGGCCCTAGCGCAAAGATCTTCGACTTGGTCGAAGAGACAATCTCAGGTGGCGCACCACTAGACCCCTTAGTGATCCGAGAGTGGGCACAACGCTCTATCTGCCTCATCGGCAACTCAAATGCCGCACTTAGTACTGAGAGGCGGAAGGCAATTCTCATGAAAATAGACCCCAAACTGGTCAACATGGCCATAACCGAGCCTGGACCCCAGGCAAAAGGCCTCCTTTTCGGAGATAATTTTGTAAAGGAGCTGGGCACCTACGTGAGCACATTTACAGCCCTGGATAAGGCACAAACAAACCTAAAACGGGTGTTCTCCCCGAAGGTTTTTGGAGGGGCTGGCAGGTACAGGGGCCGTCTGTCCAGCCGCCCACCACGGAGCTCCCACCGGGGCTACCGGGGCCCCACGACACCAAGAGTCCCACAGGCGGAGACCAGAACCCCCGCACCTTTCTTCCCGGTCAGGGGCAGATCATGGCAGCCCAGAGGTCACAGGGGTGCCACATACGGCCGACGACCTTATGGTAAGTGCTTTTCCTTTTCCCCTCTCTCATACCTCGCACGTAGGGGGCATGGCACAGACTCACGTCCGATGCCTGGATTCTCGACACAGTAGCGGGGTACCATATAGAATTCGTCACACACCCAATCCAATCCACAATGCCACAGCGGATGGTGTTCGCCCCTCAGGACAGGGAACTGGTGTCGAAAGAAATCATAGCTCTGGCGGAGAAGGGTGCGATCTATCAGGTCGCGCCCCACTCCCCAGGGTTCGTAAGCAATCTGTTCCTGGTCCCCAAGAAAGGCGGTGGGGTAAGACCGGTGATCAATCTTCGCCCACTCAATACATTTGTACGATACCACCACTTCAAAATGGAAGGGATTCATTGCCTGCGAGATCTTCTCAGGCTGGGGGATTGGATGGTAAAATTAGACCTCCAAGATGCATATCTCACCATCCCCATTGCAAAGGAGTGTCAGCATCTCCTACAATTCAGTTGGGACTCCCAGACCTGGAGGTTTCAGTGCCTTCCGTTTGGCCTATCGTCAGCACCATGGTGCTTTACAAAACTGCTGAAGCCAGTGGTTGCGCTACTGCGCAGCAGGGGCGTCCGCATGATCATATATCTGGACGATATGCTGATCATGGCCCAAGACACCCTACTGCTACTACAACATTTAGATTGGACAGTAACTTTACTACAGAACCTGGGATTCCTAATCAATTGGGAGAAGTCGGTACTAACCCCCTCCCAGTCCTTAGAATTCCTAGGGTTCGAAATAGGGTCGGTCTTAGGGACCCTAAGCCTGCCACCCACAAAGATGAAAATCATCAAGAAGGAGATCCGCAGAACATTGGCTCGACCAACACTTACGGTCAGACAACTAGCCAGGATAATTGGACTCCTCTCCGCTTCCATACAAGCGATCTTCCCAGGGCCTTTACACTACAGGGCCCTACAGCGACTAAAAGCCGCACAACTGCGCTCAGGACACTCATACTCAGACTCTGTGCCACTCGATCACACAGCCAAGGAGGAGCTCAGGTGGTGGCTGCAGCACATGGAAGCGTGGAACGGCAGAGCAATCTTCGTCAACAACCCAGATTGCGTAATAGAATCAGATGCCAGCACACGGGGCTGGGGAGCGCGCTGTGGACATACCTCCACGGGCGGAAAATGGTCCCAAGCAGAAAGGACACTACATATCAACTGCCTGGAATTAATGGCGGGTTCGTTTGCACTGAAGAGCCTCCTAGGTCCCGCAACACATTGCTCCATCATCCTGAGAATGGACAACGTCTCAGCCGTCCAATACATCAACCGCCTCGGCGGCACCAAGTCCAAAATTTTAGCAGATTTAGCCACAGAATTTTGGCAGTTTTGCTTAGAACGCAGCATCACAGTACGAGCCGAATACATCCCGGGACTTTCGAACACCGTAGCAGATTGGAACTCCAGACATCTGCGGGATACCAGCGATTGGTGCCTGAACCGAGAGACGTTCCTACGATTACACACTCTATGGGGTCCGATATATATAGACCTGTTTGCGTCTCGGTTGAATACACAACTCCCGGAATTCTTCAGCAGGAGACCGGACCCAGACGCGTTAGCTACGGACGCATTCCTACAACCATGGCCGAACAAACGATTATACGCGTTCCCACCGTTCGCCCTACTGGCACGAACGTTAGTGCACCTCGACCGCACACGGACGTCCCTAGTCCTCATAGCTCCATTCTGGACTGCACAGCCTTGGTTCCCTTTACTCATGGAGATGTCCATAGATCTCCCCAGACTGCTGCCCGAGGATCCACATCTCCTCTCAGACCCAGATGGGAACCCACACCCTCTGATGGCGCAAGGACAACTCAGGTTGTTAGCGTGGCTCCTTTCCGGGGTCCCTGGGTCGTGCCAAACGTTCCGCAAACAACTCTCGAACTCCTGGCGGGAGCTTGGGCTCCGGGAACACGACGATCCTACTCTAAAGCTTGGAACATCTGGAGTGGTTGGTGCATGGAACAACACGTGGATCCCGTATGTGCCACTGTAAACCACCTGTTGTGTTTCCTTACACACCTATACGACCAAGGATTGGCATATCGGACCATCAATGTATACAGGTCAGCGATCTCGGCGGGACACACTGGTATAGAAGGATTTCCAGCAGGCAAGCATCTGTTGGTATGCAAGCTCTTACGCGGTATTCGATTGGCAAGACCACCGCGACCCCGATATAGTACGGTATGGGACGTGAATGTGGTCTTAAATCTTTTGGAACTATGGCCACAGAACTCTGACCTCACGTTGAAACAACTTTCAGCGAAATTGGCCATGCTCTTATGCCTAATATCCTGCAAAAGAGTCTCGGATGTCCGGGCATTGGACGTCGACGCACGCACGTTCACTCCAACGGGAGTAACTTTCAACATTTCCAGACGTACAAAATCAGCGACAACATCAGTGTCATATCCAGCATTCCCGCACAACAAAAATCTGTGCCCAGTTGCCTGCCTCAAGGAATACGAAACACGGACACAGGCATTTCGAAACTCGGGACAACATGAACTATTTCTGGCCGTCAATTCACCACACCAGCCAGTATCTTCCATAACGATAGCCCGATGGGTGAAGTGGATAATGGCCTCTGCAAACATAGATACTTCGGTATATGGGGCACACTCCACTCGAGGAGCTATGGCATCTAAAGTATTCAACTTGGGGTGCAGACTGGAAGATTTGTTACGGACGGCAGATTGGTCCCATGAATCCACCTTTAAGGAATATTATTTTCACCCTACAGACCACGTAGCATCAAGAGTCATTGCACAGCTTTGAACTAGCATAATATGAGCCTCCGTGTCCTTTAATAAAATTTCCAGATTTTACTAATTACATGACGTAAAGTCATGATTTTATAAATTTTATAAAGGACACGGAGGCGAATATTGGCCCACCCGGTATATCAGGCATATATCAGCGAAAGTAGAGTGACATGCCCACCCAATAAACAATAAAATAAGGGTCATTGTGGTGTCTTATTTCGTCTCGATTTAATTCGTTTTTTTATTTAAGACAACTGTACTAGTGAGTCTGTAGTACATCAGGCTTATGCTAAGATTTAGTCACTAACGTTGTGGCAAACAGTTCCTCAGACCACATTTTACCATATTTTTCTCTATCCCATTACAGTTTAATTCGCAATACGCGACATCCTGGATGACCAGTTGTCACCGCAGTTTACGCGGACAAGTTCTTACAAGTTCGGGATATGGGAAAGTTCGACACAACGGATGAAGTGTTCCAGTGTCTTCTCAAGTTATAATGATACAGCTTCGGCATGACCAAAGAAAGAGGAAGAGGAAAGGTCACATGAATAGTTATAGATAGAGGGACTGTTCCTATTGGTTAAGGGTATGATGTTGGGTTAACCTTTGGAGAACCTGTTAAAACTTTTTTCTATGAATGTTTATACCTTCTCTTTGCTGCTGAGGTATAATAAAGAAAGAGATAAGCATAATATTCGCCTCCGTGTCCTTTATAAAATCATGACTTTACGTCATGTAATTAGTAAAATCTGGAAATTCTGATTAAGATTTCTGCTATTCCTTCAACAAAGTCTGTGGCTGTGAAAAATACAAGCTTTATAACAAGAGTACACCCCTTTAACAGCGAGTTCATTGTGCCAAAACAGCTTTATACCAAAAAGCTTATATATTTGTTCTAAAACATCCTAGTCACTGTTTTGAAAGGCATTTATCACAAAAACTTACTGAGAGTCCAGAAGAATTGACAGATTTTTTACTCATGTCACTATATGGTTATGTGTAATGTAGAATCAAGGAGAAATATACAATACTATCTTTAAATCTACTCCAGTGGTTTTAGATATTAGAAATAATACCTTTGTTGCTAAATTGCAATGAAGAAACCCCACGATTCAGATGATAACACATTTCACCAGATTAATTTTATACTGTTTTAGCTTATAAGATTAATAAATAACAGTATGTGTAGTCTTTGTGTCACTTTCCTCTCTTAAACATATTTTAAAAGTAAGGAAGACAAGTTTGTAAAAACATGAGAAAAAAAAAAGGAAATTTTGTTTCTTACCATTTAGTAGAAAAAAGCAGTCATTCAATTTGTCAATCATATTAATAAATGCAGCAATGTATTGGGGCCTAATCCCCTCATAGAAGGAAAATAAAAGTATTTTCCCATGTTATATTTTCTGAAGTATACCCATAGGACGAATGTTATTTTTGAAGCATTAATCAGACACTAACAAAAATATCTGAACATTATTTAGAACCTAAGATCACCTTTCTACTGCTTTGAAGAAACACATATACCCCATTTTGGGGTATTAACTGTGTTTAATATAGACCTTTGCTAGTTGCTGTTTAGCGCTGTGTGAATAGTTTAGAGGATACTGTGGTCATTATGTCTTGATGAATGGAGATCCAAAAATCATTATACTTTATCATGTTTAATGTTTCCAGACAACGTTAAAGAGCATTGTAATCATTTAATTTTTTTGGAGTATGACTTAACAACCTGATGTTCATTTCACTCCTTTAATAAGCAGTTGGCAGCTTTGTATAATTATTTCAAAACAAACTCATTAGAACCATACTGTAGCATCAAGAATATCTCGTTATTCTTACATGCTTTTTAAAAAAAATTTCCTTAGGCCAGGTGAAAAAATGCCATAACGCTAGGACAGATCAGGCAGCAGATATGAAGTTAAAAAGACAGGAAGTCTCATGCTAATTTACTGAATACATCATTGGTTGATTATTCAATGCCTGTGGCAAACATTTGATTGATTCCATCACTCAATAAGAATGAATCATGTTCTGCTCCTCTGTGTGTGTGTGTATTGCTGTTTATAAGATTTACAAGGTATAAATGCTGAAGTGCAATGAACGGTGTTAGTTTGCTGGGTACCACTATGCTAAAGTCCTGCTACCCAACAATTTAACAAAGAAACAATACTTGAAGAATGGCAATTTTTGTACAAAAAGATTCATTTTGCCTTTTTATCACTATGTTGGACATATGAATTAAAAAACAAAAAACAAAAAAAAAACCTTAGGATATTTAAAAAAAATATTTCCGAAGATGACCCAAAAATCCCATGAAAGTCAATATCTGTACAGCCACATTGTTGTAGTAGTCCTTTCCTGGCGATATCTACATGTCCAAAATATTTTTATTTCCAGTGATGAAGAATTTGCCAGGTGTCTCTGTATGGAACTTGTGAAATGTGTTCGTTTAGTCGTATGGATTTTTCAAGTTCATAGATGATTGTTTTTTGAAAGGTATGCTATAAGGGCCACAGCCACTCCAACATATATCCCCGTTCCAATGGTGATGGACAGTACAGCTAAGAAGAGTGCTCTTCGTGAACTTGAACTTGCTTGATGGAAGTCACCTTTAGCCACAGCTTTGTTCGTCTGTAATTTAAAAAAAAAAAGAAAATTAATTACATAAATTTAAAATAAAACATTTGTGTGGTCAGGTCACTTTTCTTTAAAATAACTAATCCAATTCAGAAACTGGCAACCATGGGAAAATTATTAATATGACTATTTAGCAAAATACTTTTAGAATTCGTCACTGATAAAGCAGAAGCAATATATGCAAAATAAAGTTGTAGTTACTATGTGAAGTATGATTTTCTACCGAATTTGCAAAAACAGACTCAATTGGTAAGTTCAGGCAGTCAGCCCTTGCACACCCATTTTAATACATTATAAATATAATAATTACACAAAAAATTAAATACCATTAGATTAATCGAGAGATCAATAACCATACAAATAATACGTATTTAAAAATTAAAGATACACTACTATAAAGTTCCAGTGGTTAGAAGTGGCTGAAACCTCGTAGTTTGCTCTACCCCCTATTGATCTCAATAGGAATGCAGAGCATATCCAAATAATGCCTGTGCAGCAGCAGATCACGTGATCTAATAATAAAAATATGATAGTCTTTAAAGGGACACTCTAGACACAGTGACTGCTTTATCTCAGTGAAGTGGTTTTGGTGCCTGGAGTCCAGTAGTGCTGTCCCTCCAGTCAGTATTAAATTATTTTTGAATGGTTTAATGCTAAACAAGAGTCCACAACAGTTGTAACCCTGACCCTTCTGTGCTTCTGTGCTGTGGTGGTAATTGACTGAGGCTGTCAGCTGAATAACCTCCTCACTTGATGTGTTAGGAAATAATCTGTATAACATTATCTAGTGATATCAATCAATCTCCTTATTTTTGGCCCAATGAAAGAGGCCGAAAGTGGTGTTCAATTATAGCAGACATAGACTGCTTCATCTTTCACATTATTCTAGTTGCATATTTTTTTCTAGAGTCTGTCTACATTGTTTCTTGCTTTCCTCATGCTTAATTACAGAATAAAATAATATAGAAAGGATAATGTAAAGAAAGTATTAAAGGATTGGAAAATATTAAAGGATTAATCCAACCACCATGACCAATTCTGTAATTTGAAGTGGTCATGGTGGTAGGAGTCTGGATGGGCAGTCTTTAGAGTTATTTGCAATTATGTGCTTGGGGCTATTTGTACCACAGGCACACATGTCTTTGGCATCCAGAACTCTGTTCCGGGCTGCCAGTGTCAATTATGTGCATATTTTAAGTCTATTGTCAGCTTTGCTTACTTTTCCTACCCTGTCAACTTTGCTCACCCCTTCCTCCATTATGTCAATATTTTTCTTTCTAAAATCCATCTCTTATTTTCTGCCTACCTACCCCCTCTGCCCTCTCTTTGCCGGCTCAGATTGTGTGCATGCTCTCTGACACAGCAAAAAGGTCCAATCACAGGCTTGAGAGCTATATAACGTCAGATGGGGGAAGGAGACAGCGCCAGGACCTATGTAGATATGCCCAATAGGACATTAAGAGGTTAAAACACTTAATTACTTCTAACGGGTGGAGGAACTTTTTAAGAAGAATTCAAAATTATTAGACATTACACTAATTGCATTTACTCCAGTCTGTGTTATGACAGATAATTAATGGTCTGTATATATGATATAGAAATTGAAAACAAATTATGATTTTTCCATACATCAAATGTATTAAAACACACCTAAATAATCATTCTGCTATTACCATGCATAATGCATAATTCAACCTCGTTACAATATTTTGTAAAATTTTTAAGGCATCATGTAGTGTAAATTGTGTGCATTGTCCGTTAAATCGTTCATTTACCAGCAGTAGTCTAGGCCAGGGGACAATCTTCAGCACTCCAGATGTTATGTACTAAATCTCTGCTGATGCTTTGCCAGCATTATGACTGTAAGAGAATTATGGGAGAGGTAGTTAACAGCATCTGGGATGCGAAAGGCTGCCTGACAGTGATCTACGCTCTGTTATTAGTGGAATTATACTAATGGTTGTAGAACTGCTAGTGAAGCTGGTCATTTTTGCCTGAGAAGTCCTATTTCTCGGAAGAGAGGAAAGAATTGAAATAAAGCTCTAACAGCATAAGACCACTCTTTCATGATATACTATATCTCATATTTTGAAATGAACAGTACAGTTCTTATTCAGCCAATTCATCAAAGTACTTGCTTTTCTATGTCTGTAAAGTCAAAATTCCTTGCTAAAACTTTGGCAGCCAAACATATGAAAATGTAATAACTCAGCAGTTTTACCATAGTTCAACTTTTCAAGATAAAATTCTGACCTGGTAGAATCAAAGCCAAATTATGGCTCTATTGAAGATATGCAGTCAAGTTTCTTTTTAGGAAGAAAATAATAAGGCAGAATATTAAGCTCTATGACCCAGTTTCAAAGACCCAACCAACTATGAATGTTATTAAAGAGGCTCTATAGTTCCCCACTCCATCCCCCCCCCCCAAATGTTGAGCAATTCATAAATGACCGTATTAGAAATGTATTAAAATCCAAACACAATCAAAAGATATCTTGACAAAACTTGATGAAAGTTGGTGTTACCAACATCAACGTTCATCACGTAAAAATGGAAGGAAGTGTAGGAATAAGGCATTGTCTAACTCGTCATGAAATAATATCTGTGGAGGCTCTTGCCGTCTCATTGGATCCTCCATAGACATCAGTGTTGGACTTATGTGGACTCACAGCAAAAAGAGTGCTGGAAGCTGAAGATTGAAGACGGCCCTTCCAGACAGCGTCAGGTCAGTCCCTGATATTTTTCACACACTATTTTCTGGTTTAGCACAGGTGTAGATTCTATTTAAATTGTTGTCATTTAGATCATAAATAGGAAAATTGTAATGACATGCTCCATATTAAAACATTTGCTCCACACACTGATTACTTTTACATTTTTTTTAATTGAGCCTGGATAGTAAATGAAAACTTAGGGAGTTTTTTGTTTACTAAAAAGTGATTTTCCATGAATTAAAAGTCAAATTTGCCATTTTTAGGATAAACTACTCAGGTTGGGGCTGTGGCTGGATGATAAATCACCTATCTGTGACCAAAGGATTTCTAATTTGGGACTCATAATAATAATTCATTGTTTAGGTAATAATGCATATTTAATTCTCTACATAGGAACTGATTTTAAATGACGCGAAAGGCAACAGAAAGATTAACCTGTAAATTTAGTTAACTTTTTTAAAGATATTCTCAAATGTTCTAAATAAAAAAAATATATGTATGCACACATTGTTAGTTTTATTAGTATACTGTTTATAAAGTATATTATATACAAGTATATAAAATATAAATACATATTTAATACTAAATAAAGACTGTAATTGTTGTCTATTGGTAAATAAGATACTATTGCCTTGTACTAGATCATATTTTCAGTTACATAAATGGCTAACATATCATAAAGTTAAAAAAACACAATACCTCTGTCCCCTGATCAC